TATTCTTTTCCGATAATGACATTTGCAAACTCTTCTATACTATGAATGATGAACTTAAAAATATATCCAAATGGTTTAAATGCAACAAACTAACTCTTGACATTGAAAAAAAAAATTGGGTTCTTTTTCACCCAGTCTCTAAAAAAGCTTATTTACTCCGAAGTTTGCCTAAAATTTAAAGTTAAAATGTTTTTTAACTTTAAATTTTACTTTAAACTTTATCGCCGTCAGAAACATGCAATCCGTTTAATAAATTTTTCGTATCGATACACTCATTCCAAACCACTTTTTATCGAAATAAAAGTTCTCAATATTTATGAGCCTAATGTTTTTATGTTTTGCGCTTTATCTTTACCCGTTTTTAAAGATCTCTTTTGCTTGAAACCACTAAATAAATATACACTTAGAAACAATAATGTTATATATGAGCCTTTTTGTCGAACCAAGTTTAATCAGTTTTGTATTGCACATAATGCACCCTATCTTTGGAATAAAATTAATTTGTCCGATTTCGACATGCATTTTTTTCAAATATAAACTGAAAAATTTAATTATCTTAATGGAAGATGTAGTCAGATTTTTTTAATCCTAATTTTATATATATATATATATATATATATATATATATATATATATATATATATATTTTCAGAACATTTATTGTTTATTACGTTTTATTTTGTTGATATGTGTATATATATTTTGTTGATATGTGTATATATTTTATTTTGTTGATATGTGTATACGTTTTATATTGCTGTGTGTATATAAACTACATCAAAACATGTTTTGATGTAGTTTATATACACACGCTTGTAAAAGGTTCTGATGATAAGATTAGTACGATCTTCTTTCAGAAACCTTGTTTGTGTTTGTGAAAGTAATTTATTTACTACGTCAACAAATGTAAACTAAACAAAACAAAACAAAAAAGGCAGTAGTTTACAACTTCAAGAAAAAGTGTTAAAGTAAAATGTTTAGAAAAAAAAACTTTGTTTAACTTTCAACTTATAAACATTTTTTAAATATATATATAGCCATTTAAAATTACAATAGCCTGCTCTGAACAAAAAATGAGTAAAAGTGACTACTACATGCAACACTATTGGTTTAAACTTCTTTTAGTGCATAATAGAAGGTAAAAAAATTAAATTCACTCAACTTATCGAAGAACTGCAAGTCGATATTATGTTAATAATAAAAAATCATTCCAGTTATGGAGTTTAAAGGAACAAAAAGAAACATTAAAACTTTGATGGAGGAGAGTATTCCTCGATGTTTTCAGAAATTCTTACTATGACTAAGAAATCATAGCTATTGAAATTCTTGATAAGATCTTTTAAATCTTCTTTTAAAAAACAAGTTTACATTTTTAAGTTGTTATATTGATTAATAACTGCAAACTTATAATATATATATATATATATATATATATATATATATATATATATATATATATATATATATATATATATATATATATATATATATATATATATATATATATATATATATATATATATATATATATATATATATATATATATATATATATATATATATATATATATATATATATATATATATATATATAGTCGGCTTTTGGCAATTGAAACAAATTGTTTAAATAAAACTTTGAACTAGTCAAACAGCTTAGCTGACAATAACATAAAAAAATTTCAGCAATCGTCAACGCCACCTATTGCAAATAATATTAATTTTGTTAACAACAAAAGCCGAAAGTCAATCAACTTAATTTAACTAGTAACAGATAAATTTTGTTGTAATTTATTTGAGAGCAATGATAAACTTGAAAAAGAAATAAATGATTACAGTCTGCAATACTTTCAGAGCTACAAAAATAGTGCCATTGAATTTTTCCAAGCTAATCAAAAATTGTTCTGGTTTTGACACGGATAATATTTTCAGTTCCAGCGACATTCGTGCCATCAGAATGCTTATTTAGTTCAACCAATTTAATAGATACGGAGCTACGGAACAGCCTTGCGCCGAGCTTATTGTAGCAGTTAGTTTTTATAAAGAAAACAAGTAATCAAAAACATTTCTTTATTAAATTATATTTTAGTAAAAGTGTATTTTGTAAATCTTAGTAATTTAAAGCACTTGTATTCTTTTTTTTTATCTGATGAATGAATTTTTTTTTATCTGATTTTATAAACAGCTAAATTAATGACAATATGTTTTCTGCTATATTCTTTTAAATTCTGGAAAAAACACGAATATCCAATTATTGAGCTGCCATCAGGGCAGGTGCAAGTATGTGTGACATGGTAGGTGTCATTAAAATTTTTGTTGAGTAAAAAATTAGGTCCTTTTTCTTTAAAATTCGACCTACATTTGCCGACTTCTTTGAAAGGGTTATTTTTGCCGATTAAACAATTAACACATCTGCAATTTAGTGGTAGTTAATGGGGGCGTAGCCAAATAATTTTGAGGAATTTTTTTTCTAAAAATTTAAATTCACAAAAAAAAAAAATCTTAAATCACAAAAAAAAATTTTTACCTAATAAAACTTATTTAACCAACAACAAAAGAAATTTTTAAAAGTGAATTTTTAATTTTTATAAACATTTTAATTTTTATAAACATTTTTTTCACAGTGAATCAACCGGTTCACGGTACCCCGATTCATTGTGCCCCACCATCAAAAATAAGGTTCAGATTTAATTTCTTGGGACATGAGTGTTATTAAAGGAAAAGCTAAACTACTAAAATATAGCATAAATATCAGTATTCCGAATATAAAAGTTTAACTTATAAAATGATTTTAACCATGATCTCCACAACAAACATTAAGATGGTAAGAACATTTACTTTAGTTAGCTAAAAACAATAATTACCTACCAAAAACCTAGAGTCAAAAATTATGTGGTAACACCTATAAATAAAGGTGGGTGATAGATGCGCACATAAACTGATTACATCATCGTGATGAGCAAAATCATAATCTTTGAGAAAATGCTAATTATTCACTGTGCCCCTCAACCCACTGTACCCTAACTTCCCCTATTCATAGTTATCTTTCCTATTGTAATCTTGCATGGGGGAGTACCAATTATGGAAAGCTCAAAAAAAAATTATAGCAAACAAAACATTCATGCAAGATTATATTTGGCGTTAACAGAACTGTTAATGATGAATCTCTTTTAAAGAAACTTAATGTCCTTAATGTTTATAAACTTAATATATACCAAGTTATGCTTTTTACGTTTAAATCAAAACATGAGTTATCTCCTAATATATTTCACTCTTGCTATGCAGAAATACCTCATTAATACCCATCTGATAATTTTGTTATTTTAAGATCTTATTTAAAACTCAATTCATTTCAAATTCAATACCGTGGACCATTTATATGGAAAAGTTTTTAAAAAACATTATTAAAGATAAAATTCTTCTAAGAACAATTCTAAGAACATCTCCTTAGAACAATTCAAAAGAAAATCTAAACGTTTTCTATTAGAAAAAAACTTCAATATTTATTTTAATATTTCTTTTAAAAGTTCCTAAAATAATTAAACCTGAAAAAGTCATTACTACTCATTTATTGTTGTCTTGATGTGTATCTTATTTATTTCTCATTAAAATAAAATATATATACTATTAATTTTAAACAAAAAAATTAAACAAAAAAAATTTTCCGATTTATTACTTGTGTTTTATATGTGTAGAACTAATATTGTATTTTATTTTTAACTTTATAATTTTTAACTTGTAACTTTGTGACGTAAGTGAAGGTAGTTATATATATAAAATAGTGAGAGGTAGTTCTGCCCCTAACACCAAAAATTTTAAGAATTATTTTATGTTAATTTTTAAAATTTAATTATTTATAAAAACATTTTAAAAAAATTTTGTATAATTTCAGTAATAAAATAAATATAAGCAAATTTTAGTAATATTTGTATATTGCGTAATACTTTCAGAATTTCGAAATAGCAAAAATATTTCGAAGCAAATTTGCAATTTCGAAAGTAAAAATTTTTTTCGGTAATATTTTGTATTAAAACAATATTTAAAAAATGTTATAACTACAAAGTTTTAAACTTTTATATGATGTTTATTTATCATTTAAGGTGGTAACCCTAGAAATAATTTATTTTTTGAGTTCGAGCTATTTATTGATATTTTGTAGTAAAACTTAATTCTATTACAAAAAATTAAAAAAAAAATCATTCAAAAATTTTTTTTTGCCTTGATTATCCAAAAATAAATTTGTTAAACTTCAAATAATGGGGTGTATTTGAAAACATAATATCTCACTACATAATAACTCTACCGCTTTGAAATTTTGCAGAAATGTTTGTTATTTATAATATTTTCATTTGTCATAGAATTTTTTGATTTGCCTCGATAACTCCAATGTTATGCAAAATGTTTCAGAGTTTATTTATGTAGTCACTTAAATTAGTACTAAAATTCATATAAAATGGAAATTTTCTCATTAAATAACAAAATCCTATGAGAAATGATTTATCAATGTCTTATAAAAATGCCCTGAAAATTTCAGTTCATAAATCCATACCATTTTTAGAAAACCACGTTTTGAAATGTGGAATGTCTCGAAAATTATTAAACCTGGGAAACGAGACTTTTAATAAAGTATTTCATCTGATACATTTTTCAGGGCATTTACATGTTGCTAGGGCGTTGCTAGGGAAAAGTAACAGCAACCAATTCACAATTATATCAATATATTGACAATTATATTAAAAAAACTTGTTCATGTTATACATTTTTGAAAAGGTATTAAAATTCTTCATTAAATATAATAAAAATATATTTTTTGAAAATTTCATCAAAAATCAACATTCATTTCTAGGGTTACCACCTTAAGTAATACAACCAATTTTGCTTAAAGTTTAAATTATTGTTTGTTTCTTATTTCTCATTTTAATACCAGGATATCACCTTAATGCAAGATACCATTACAGTAATTTAATATTTTCTGTTAATGTAGTTAAGAAAAAAAAAATTACCAAAAGTTTTGACGTTTTGAAAATGGCCATCTCCGTCGTCGACAAATGCGTTTACATGATGGGAGGTTGATTTCAATATCGATATAGTCATCTTTCATTTTTTACTTATACGACAACTTTTTCGTATAAATTTCTATTTTTTCGCTCTTTTTTTCTTTTGTCAACGAATTCTTTATTTGTGTGTAAAAAATCTTATATTTTCTTTAAGTCTGATCAACTGTTGAAACAAAAAAACAAACAAAAATACAAAAAATAGGTTTTCAGCAAAAAAACTTTTAATTAAGTACTAAAATAAATTTTAATAATTTTTTTAACATTTTATAAAAAGTTTGACGATACGTTAATGCTAAGTCGTCGCATAGCTAATAAACGAATCATTTGCAAAAAATAGCTCTGTGTCATAATCCCTTAAAAATAGCTCTGTGTCTCTTTGTATGGTTTACATTACTTTTTTATGAAAAAACAAATCATACAAAGATTATATGTTTTTTTTTTTTAACTATAGCGTCAAAACCCCATATTATGACTTTAGACGAAATTAAAAACATTTTAAAAAATAATTATGCTGGATCCAAAATTTTTGCAAATAAACAGTTTTTAGGGATCATTATTCAAGATTCTTTTGATATTTAGGCCCCTAAAATTTTCTCTTAAAAACACAAAAGTTTTAAAAAAGTAGCAAAAGTAGTCAAATTACCGAAACCATGATAATATGAGCACTTTAAATCAGCTAAAAAGAATAACATTAATTGAATAAAAAATTACCAATATGTAATATTTAATGATATATTGCAATGGTTCCTAATATATATACATATATATATATATATATATATATATATATATATATATATATATATATATATATATATATATATCAGTAAAAAAAAGACGAAATTGCTTATGGTGGGCTTCTTGCCCCACCTTACCCTATACATATATATATATATATATATATATATATATATATATATATATATATATATATATATATATATATATATATATATATATATATATATATGTATAGGGTAAGGTGGGGCAAGAAGCCCACCATAAGCAATTTCGTCTTTTTTTTACTGATCCAATAAACGTATCTGGAAATTTGTGTTACCATTATTTCAGATACATAATAAACTTAAGTATCTAAAGTTATTTTCTTAATGGCTACTCAAGTTTTAATGGAAATATGCTTTTTATAAACTGCTATAGAGTGGGCCTTTTACCCCAAACGTTAATAGCTTGAAATATTCCTTTTTTACAATAAAAATTTATTGCAACAATACCCTTTTTACTAGTCACAATATATTTGTGTGTAAAAATGTCCAACAAAAGTTTTAGTAGAACACTTAGCATCATAATATTAGCGTAAACGGTAAAGAACTGGTCTACTTTTGGTCGATTAAATTCAACTGCTCGATTCATACTAGTTGCCTCTGGAACTCTAATAGTTAATTCTGGATGACGTTTCAAAAAACCACTAAGCCAGTCCTTGCCAGCTTGCCTGGAGGAAGTATTAAATGAATGCTTCAAGTAAAGTCGCTCGGCCATATCAAACGCTAGCCGCCGGATATCCGTCGTAGTTAATCCAAATAATGCTTTTTCCATCATTTGGATGTGTTTAACAAGATCTTGTTCAATTTCAATAGAAAAAGTATTCACATGATTTCCTAATTTATTGCTCCCAACTTGTCTTACATGCCCTGCAAATGCCTTCTCAATGTCTTCCTTGAAACTCCAAAACTGTTTTCAGCTTTACGCAAAGACATACCATTTTTTACTGAATCTAAAGCCCGTTGTAAACCTTCTGCTTCATAACTTCCTCTTTTTGTCTTCCTTTTGTAATTTCTAACCATATCTATAAATAAAATAAAGTTAAAATTTGAACATTCTACTTAAATAATGCAAGGGGTAAAAAGCTCAGGATAGGCCTTTTGCCCCATTAACAAACTGGGCTTTTTGCCCCAAAATGGTCGGTGCAAAAATTGCTAAAAACATATTATTCTATGGTACAATGAACGTTATGTAAATAATCAATACATAATTTGTACGCTTACAAATACATAAACTCATTTAAATAATCAACTAAGTTTAACAATAATCTACAAAAAATTTTTAAAATTACGCAAAAAATCAAAATATCCTATTCTTATTACCTGTCAAGTCTTCAATATTCTGTTAAAAATTATATTTCTACTAAAAATTCACCAAAATTCGCTCGCAACACTGTTACACATTTATCATTCATACTACAAAACAATAATTATAATATTTTACCTAGGTTCTTTATAACTGCAGGATGGGCCTTTTACCCCACCTGGGCCTCTTGCCCAGGTGGGGTAAAAGGCCCCATATATATATATATATATATATATATATATATATATATATATATATATATATATATATATATATATATATATATATATATATATATATATATATATATATATATATATATATATATATATATATATATATATATATATATATATATATATATATATATATATATATATACTCTTGCATGGTAGTCAAAAAGAGTTTCCCATAAACTGTAGTTTTAAAGAGCGCGTTAATAAACCAGACCAGAAAAAGTTTAAAAACTTTAATTATTTTTTTTTTAATGATAGACTGCCTGCCCAAACCAAACCCTCAGTCGATGTAGCAGCACTCCCTTGCGAGTCAGGCTATTTGTCAGTCGTTGTAGCAGGATTCCTTGCGAGTCAGGCTATTTGTCAGTCGATGTAGCAGCACTCCCTTGCGAGTCAGGCTATTTGTCAGTCGATGTAGCAGCATTCCGTTGCGAGTAAAGATAGTCGATGTAGAAACACTCCCTTGTAGCAGCAGGCTATAAGATAGTCAATGTAGCAACATTTACGCAGATTCAAAGATTTAACAGATTCTAGCTAACATATTTTTCTTTTTAAATTTTAATAATTTAGGCATCAAAATTTTGCGCCACAGATTTATTCATACGTGATGCGTACTTTAAACAAGCAAAAAATTCGGGACTTTCATACGTTGAGATTGGCGTATGAGATTTTGGTGCCATCTTTATAGGGGATAAATCAATCAAACCATTAAAACAAAAAATCATATAATCTCTATCTTTATATACTTCGAATAAAAAAAACATTTTTATAAAATAGTTAACTGACGATGGCTTATCTGCAACACTTTACATTAGTTACGTATCAGAATAAATAAAGTTAAACTGTATTCTTCCCTAACTCAAAAACTAAAAAGAATAAAAAGACTTTTTGTTTTCGCAACTTTATTAAATCCTAAGACCCTCTTATCCTCAATTGCTCCTTGGAATAGTGATGATTCGTTGTACCCTTCTATAACTAATTAAATGCTTTAAATAAACGCAAAGGCAGTTTAGGTCTACAACAAAACGCAAAGACAGTTTAGTTCTTCAACAAAAAGGATACACGCTAAAAAAAAAGATATAATAGAAGTATTTTAATTTCTACCCGAAGGTAGAAATTATTATTTTTAGGGTAGAAAAATCGTTTCTTAAGTTTAAGCGGTTAAAAACGGAAGAAAGTTATACCCCAGAGGAATTTTCTACCTTTGCGCTAGAGGTCACCAGAATGCGGCTGCCAAACCATAAAGTTATAATTTTTAATGTGACGGTTTTATCTAAAATATGGAGAAAAAGCTGAGAATAAATAAAAATATTTAATATTATAAAAAGTATTTTACCGTTTTTTTTATTTATTTAATTTATTTTTATTTTTATTTAAACCAAAAAACTTATAGGTTTGCAACTTAGACAATTAAAAAATAATTATTATATGTATTGTTAGAAGATGTATAGGTGCATCTGGTTTTTATTGATATATGCAGCATTGGTTTATTAAACAGTTTGAGATTGTAAATTTAGGCATGGAGTATTATTGTCAAGTCGAGTTTAGCAGAAAAGGGTTTTATAATGCACGAGGGTTAATCAATCACATGATGTTGCAGCATGGTCATGAAATACGTCTAAATTTGTCCTGTAGTTTAGATGGTTGTGTTTATTGCTATAACACTGTTAATACATATAGATGTCATGTTTTAAAATTTCATCAGTCTCATCTAGCTTCCATAACTTCCAATAAACTGAATTTATCTAAAGTTAAGCAGAAAATATTGAAAATATTGTGGAAACGGAAGCAGAGAATATGGCAGTTATTGAAAGTGCGGATGAAAATGCTAAAAAATCATTGACAGAATTTTTTGAGTTTTCAAAATGTTTTGGAAATAATTTATGAATAACACAGCTGCATTTACGCAAAAAACACATACTGCCTCTTTCAACAGCTTCTTCTATATGTAATAAAATTAAATATTTGCTTGATTTGTTTTAGAACAGTCTTGTATCATTAACAAGAAAAAGGCTTAAAACGCTAAATATTGAATCAGATGAAAATTATATATGCTGAATAACCTTGAGTTTGTTTACCCAATAGAATTTGATGTGCAGACTAATGAGCTTCATCAAGTAAATGAAAGTCTTGGTGGTTCTAACAATATAATAAACAATGAAGCATTACCTGCTGTAGTAGAAAACACAGATAATAATATTTATGCAATAGAAAATGAAAAAAATCTTTAAAAAAAAAAAAAAGTTGGTTATTATATTACAATTCTTCAAACTTTGAAAACCTTTCTTCAAAACGATGGTATATGGGCTAGTTGTGAACGAGGCTGATAAAAAGCAGTTAGTAGTGATGGTATTATGCGAGATTATTCTAATGGGACACATTTTAAATCCTTAAATGTTAATAGCAACAAACTTATTCGTTTACATTTGTATAATGATGATTTAGAAATCTGTAATGTACTGGGAAGTAGAAGGGGGACTCACAAGGGTTCAATTTTTTATTTTATAGTTTAGAATATTAAAACTCGTTTATGGATAAACCTTGAACATATTCACTTGGTATTAGTTGCACAATATGGTACAGTCAAAATGTTTGAATACAATAAAATTTTAATTAAACTATAGAATGATATTAAATTGCTAGAGACAGATGGGCTTAGTTTAAATATTCTTGACAAAATTGAACATTTCAATGATACTATCATTACATTCTCTGGCGATAACTCACCCTCTCATTCTTTTGGCGATTTTTCTACTTGCTTCTCATCTGGTAGAGTTTGTCATTACTGCATGATTTCGTTTAATTTTCTTTCAAAAGTTCATTCAGAATCTATATGTCAACTGAGAACGTTAGATTTATAAAATTATCATTTTCAAAAAGTAAAGATTGATGAAT